CAATACTCCTGTTGTACTGTCTTCGTGAACACATGTATTTGGAGGTATCCTCTTAATAACCTCATATTATTAAGATGTATGTGTTAATTTTGTGACTAGTTTCAAAAGAAAGTATTAAAAAAAACATATACCGTATTTGCTCTAATAGTAGCACATGATCCAGCATACAACCAATGCAATTTTTTGTTTATGTGTACTTCTAATAGAGCAAATATGATAGTTTTCCTTCAAAAAGGCCTACGCTGAAAAATGTTGATACATGCAAGGGTGCAGAATTGCCAGAATTGCAAATCAGTCCATATGTTCAGGACATTTGAAGCCTTTAGATTTGTATGAAGGCCATCGACATATAGGACAGCAATGATGACCATGCAACCACACCACAATACACTGGTGGTGGTACGTATGATAACATGGTAATCCACATAATATACTTTCTGTATCGTAACTTTCTAAACATATGGCACATTCCTGACTTATAATCATACCCTCCGGTGGTTGTGGCTGCTGTGCATCATGGGAGTTAGGATCGTTACTTTCTTTCATGTCAGTATGATCACAATCAAGGTTGTGTACACATTGCTCTGTTTCTTTCTTCTCGTCTCTGTCTTCTGGTTGCATGATGCAGTTGCTATGGCAACACGGTCCTTTGGATGTTTCTTTCTCATTACCATTATTTATTTTCAGTTGTTGCACCGAACATCGACAGACGGAAGCTGTTTTTGCCTCGTTGTATTTCTGACACATCATTCCTGCGTAACTCCATACGGGAAGGTCACAGATGTAGTCATTTGATACAAGAGGGTTCAACCATAAATCGGGAACAGCCAGCCGTTCTATCAAGAGATCTAAGCCATTCTCCATCAGATGTACGTCGTTCGGGCCGCGGGTTCGAAACGTTGGGCTGGTACGAATAAGTAAATGATAACACTGTTGCATTGTCTGGTTCCACCATTCAGAAATATTCATATTATCATCTGCACTCGGCTGAGAAAATCCAAATATTTTCCTTATGTTACTGACAGCGATCCCATACATCAAGAAACTGATAACCAAAAGCGTGGTGTAGCCACCGTATATAATCCAGTCTCTGCGTATACAACAAGCCAGCTCAGTCTGGCTTACAAGTCTCATAACTTTATATCCAAACTTGCATACATTTTCCATACAATTTAGTTGAACAATACGCAGCAATGGTATCCAGAGAATGATAGTTACGACATTATACTTCCCAAGCTGCCAGAATAACTTTAGAAAACGTCTTGCTAAAGTACTGTTAACTAAAAATACATCCATGAAACAGATAATGTTGACGAGTACAAGACTCATTAGAAATACATCGTTTATTTCTGGATGAAAAGATTTAAGAAATATTTCCATGGATTTATAAGTCTGGAATTCTCCATCCCTTTCCCCGTATTCAAATGTAGATTCCGGCATTACAATAAGAAATGAGGGAAATTTTTTAATTCCGGTATTTTGTTGGAATGATTCGTAATCTTCATCTTTGAGAGTATACTTGCCGAATTTGAATCGTCCAGAGAATTTGACACTGAGTGCAGAGAAAAACATTGGTGACTTGTTCATGTGAGAAACGAGAATGATTTTATTCAAAGCCGTCTGTTCGATCCACTGGGTTTTCAGTTCTCTTTCAGAGCTGATGATTTCAATACGGGATGACAACCGATAGTTTATCCAATCCAGAAGTGGCTGTAATTTGCTAGGACCATCATACGTTATGATAGCAACATTGTCTTTTGGCTGCTGTCCAAGTGGTAGTGCAATAATCACGTTGGATTTTTCCCATCCTTTTCTTTTGCAAAATCTGAGGGAGGAATTGAATTGAATTTTCAGAACTAAACACACCTACTCACTAAGCAATGCATGATTCTTCACTTTTATGTTCTATAATCTAATAATAATCTAAATTTTGTATGTCCAATACACATCACATTTGGTGGCATATACCGTATTTGCTCTATTTGTAACAAAGCTTATGTAAATTACAGTGGTGTTTCTAAGGTAATAATAATTCAGTATACAACTAATGCATTTTTTGGTTTATGTGTACTTCTATTGGAGATGTGCTTCCAATAGAGCAAATATGGTAGCATGTACGATTGTTTGAATCTTAGATGAACTATGGCACTATAAATCATTCTTTGTCAGCTACTTAACATAGAATCTGTGACATAGAATGTAAATATTCTGAATGCCTAAATATAACAGAACACAGATGGATATCATTAGCTTAAAGGGGCATGAGTGATGTTTTTAAAAAAAAAATTTCAGATTTTTCAATCCATTTAACACTGAGCAACCATTAATTTTATGGAAACAAATTAGTAACCACATGATGATGTCATTTAAATTTGAATATATATATATATATTGAATAAATTTCTTCACATGAAATAACAGGTAGATTTATGACCCCCTTAGGGTGGCTAGATGTCAAAGGTCAATGATACACAGAGCACCAATCATAAATTGAATAGCAATCTGTGAGAGGCATTGTATACATCATACCTGGAGTCTAAAGTACAGTCAAATATTCCAGTTCGTATACCAAATCGAGATATTTTCTTCACCAACATTGACCAAGATTTGTCTGTTAGATACGAAGTCTTCCGTTCAGGTATAACCTACAAATAATTGCCAAGAAAAATATAATCACAAGACTCAAATATCAAATAAACCTTACATGTAGAAAGGACTTCAGTGAGCATGACATAGATACTGGAAATATCTAGAACCGTGTTCGTTTAATTCAATTAAAGTGATATTCATAGCACGTTAAAAGACAATAGACCAACCATGCGTGAGAAACAGTTGATGAAACATTAAGATTTTGTGATATATTTTCCAATGGTTGATTAAATTTCACCAAAATATAAAAATAAAGAAAACATGCACCAGTTATGTTTTGCCTTTGTACCAAATTTTAAAAAAGCATTAGAAAAATGGGCAGAACACTAGTAAAAATACAATTACAAAACAAAATTTGCAGTATGTGCATTACTATGTGTGTTATCAATACCAAGTTCAAATAAAACTGGTCCAGGCATGCCTGAGAAACGGTTGATGACAAGTTCAAATGTTAAGTACATGTGATTTTGGGACAAAAAACACTGCCAGTCAGTTAAAGTTCAACAAAACAAGGAACTAATGCACATCATGGCACAAATCTTTCAAGATTTGCAATGATTGTAAAAATTCAACAATGAAAATAATAATGAAGATCTTTTCCCACAGACCCTAATAATTTTTACACCTTAAATTCATATGGTATGTAAATAATATTGTAATAAAATGTGTTTATTTTTTGTGTACATTTTTGTTTCTTCATTGTAAAAGTGTTGTGTTGTGCAACTCATTTCGCAATTTCATTTTCCCCAAAAAGGTAAATTTGTAAAAGGTAAAAACTAATATAAAACTAAAATTTAAAATTACTACACCACATCATGTGTTCAATATTCTCATGGACTGTAAGCAATGGTGTAAAATGCATTGACATTTGGTTTAAATTTTGGTTCTGATCCTTACCGGTATATGTTTAGGTTTTTATGTCGATTACACATACATGTATTGCAATCAAGATTTATGAAATCTAAAAATAAACATGGCAAATAACACCGAATAAACGGCAAGGTAAAGACTATGTCTAATTATAGTAAATACGTACTGCGTGCGTGACTCGAACCGGCGCTCGCGTACGGCACCTAATCGCCTAGCTTCACGCCACTACACGTCTTCCCCTCGGCCACCGGGCATCCCCAAATAAAGGATGCTTAATAACTGAGCTTATTACGTGCAGAGAACGTGAAACCCGTTACACGCGATACGCGCCACACAGCATGGCCAGAATGCGGCAAAGGCCTTCAGATCTGGCTGT